AACATATTTGATCTAATTTATTTGTATTTATATATGTTTAGTATGATGTGGAAGTACGCTCCAAAATATTTGCTGATCTTGTTTATTGGTATATATTATTTTGATATTTATTTAAATGTAAATATAAATGTATAACTTATTTTTGTATTGGTTTTTCAGTTGAATTATACGTTCAGGGTAATCAGCAGTTAAAAACATACTGTTGAAATGATTTGTTTTAAAGTTCAATAAATGGATTTTTTCAAAGTCAATGAATAATCGTATTTAATAATCGTGTTATCAATTATTGACCAAAATAATCGTGATTAGGATTTTTGCCATAATCGCACAGCCCTAATATAAATGTTAGTCTCTTATGTGAGCCGTACTTAATGTCAATGTGGATTCACTTAATGTCTAAACCCCAACCAAAGAGTTTACTCTCTAGTGCCCGTCATGTTTCATAGTTTGTTCAATATCTTTTAGTTTTAAGATTACACAACCTGCAAGTAAAGGACAATATATACCATAGATTCAGAGTGTGTGAGTGTTTAACGATGAAAGAACATCCATAACATTCATCTGTTTGCAACTCATATATATCAATATTCCAATTACTTGTATATAGACTATTCTGCACTATTTCTACGATATTCGATTTTATGTTATTTACTTGCACTATTGTATCTGTGTTATTGTGAGCAGTCTGTGACCTCAGAGTTTCATTGTCATATCTACACTGTAGCACACATGAGAATAAAAGCCTTGAATCTTGAATGTACTGTAGATTCTGAGTGTGAGTGTTTAACGATGAAATGACAGTCTAAATTCAGTGTGTTTCCCCCTGACAGCAGAGCTTCTCTCTCAGTGACTCCTCTGCACTGAGACCTCATGGTGCTCAGAGAGTCTGATGCTTGCTCTTCAGAAAGGGAACGTGGTTTTCAGAGAGTCTTGTTTTCTACCTGAGCCGGGCGGAGAAGCAGCGCATGTACTCCGTCACCCAGCGGTCGCCCGCCACGCTCAGCTGCGAGCGCCTCGTCTTCTCCAGGTCGGCGGATCGAGCGCGCCGCCGCTCAGGGTTCGAGTTCTTCTTATCGGACCCCCGCCGGGTGGTCTGTACGCAGGCGTCAGACGTGTGGCTCTGAGGGGAGAAACCAGAGAGATGGAGGAGGGGGAGACGTTTCCGAAAAGCACACCAGAGTTTTATTATTAATGAGAGCAAGAGTCTCAGGTGACCCAGCTTCACTTCTCTGGTGTCCTGTGAAGCTGCTCTGAAACTCACCTGGACTCAGGGCACCTCACATCCTAACTCTGAGCACATTTATTTCTGTATAAAATGTATTTCGTCTTTCATTCGATGTGGGAAATCAGAGAAATGTCAAGTGACGATCGCCTAAAACAATTACCATTCTGTTTTGTTGTTCCTCTTTTGAAATAACATTTTACAAGAACATCACCAGGACAGGAGTAAGCCTAAGAGACAAACTGAAATAAGGCTTGTAACGGTATTTAATAATTTCCCTTTAAACAAGTAATACCAAGACTGGAAACAACACATCTTCTGAGAGAAGTTACTTTGAAGATCAAGGCTACAGCTAACTTCAGTAACCAGCAGTGAAGGCCTTTAACGTGATGTCTTTTGTTAAATTTTTCAAACCAAAGTGTAAGTAAGTATTAGTAAAACATGGTAAACGTGTTCCACTAGAAATCCTGCAATCAAAATCTTACTTTAAGGGAATTCTGCTGCCTTAAAAGTGTATGTCAAATCAGTGATGATGGTAAATGTAGTCATTTGAGGCTTTTCATTCCTCATAGCGTGCGACTGTATATTGAAATGAGAAAGCTCCTGCTTGTAAAGACGTGTCTGAAAAATAAAGTTAATTTCAATCAAGTAGTTTTGTTTGTTATGGATAAATATTAATTTGTACTAGTGTATTATGACATCTTGAGGAATTGCTTAATTGCTAGTTTCGTGTTTACCGTATTTTTTGTTGCTTTTCAATTCGTGTTTGAAATGAGGTCTTTTTTTAGTTTATGTTTATTATTGTTTATGTGGCTATAGTGTGTAAAATAATCACGATTAGTGGGTCAATAATTGATATTACGATTATTAAAAACGATTATCCATTTACTTTGAAATCATCAATTTATTGAAAAAGAAAATGTGAACAGTATGTTTTTAACAGTTGATTACCTTGAACTTTAAGTATAATTCAACAGAAAACACAGTAAAAAATAAATAATTAAAATAATTAAAAACAAATATTAAAAAATAAAATAAATAATAATCGTCTTATCGGCTTTTATTGTTAAAAAATAAAATAAATAATAATCGTCTTATCGGCTTTTATTGTTAAAGGAACCTTACGTTGTTTTCGTAATCGTTGCAAGCCAAAATCGTAATCGAGATTAAAATACGATTAATTGCACAGCCCTAGTTTGACTGTATGTGTGGAGCAGGGGGAAAATAGCCAATGCTAGTGCTAGTGCTTAGGAGCATCCTGATAAAGAAAGTGAAGCTCCTGTTACCTCCTGTTGCCGTATCCTCCAGCTCGGTTCAATACGTTGTTACTCAGAGTTTGGAAGTGCTTTCAGTCCCCTGGAATATCTCACAAATGTTTTACATGCCAAATCTGACCGGTTCCTTACTTTATACTACATTCTCTTGGACCTGAATTGTCGGCTTTTATTGTTAAAGGAACCTCATGAATCTCCTGTCACCACCTCCATGTATGTTTGTTTGAGACTCAGCTGTTTTTGTTGTGTTTTGTCTTTTTGTTTGCTTTTCTTTGTAATCATGTATTTGTCATGTATGTGCTACGTCATTATTGTGTTGTGCAAATTGGGAAAACCAGTGCTTTCATGGACAAACACTCACGTTGTTCCTCGCCCTACGTTCCTCCCCCTGTCTCTCGCTCCAGTCCAGTCTTCCGGACGCTCTCAGGCTCTCCTTGCTGCAGAGGGCCGGCGTGCTCTTGGCTCTCGGGGGTTTCCTGAGCACGGCGGGCTTCTCCTCCAGGGAGCTGTCCCGGTGGGGGGTCTCTGAGCGGGGGGTGCGGCGGCGGAGGCGTCTCCTGGGCGGCGGGAGGACCGGCCCCCCGTCAGAAGAGGTGGTGTCAGCGGGGCCGGGGTCTGACGGGGACTCCGCCTCTGAGGGGCCGCTGGTGTCTGGAGACAACGAGCTGGATCCATTCACACCGTTTACTACAACTGCTGCTGAAGATACAGAGCAACCGTTTTACCAACCTCAGAGCACATTAAAAGGTCCCCTATTATGCTGTTTGTCATCAATATATCACAGGTCTCAGATATATACAGAACCTGTCTCTGATTGGCTGAAACACCAAACAGATCATTGCAGCATTACCCATAATCCCCTCTGTTTCAGCCCTGTTTCCAAAGTGCTGATTCTCTGTCTGTTACTTTAGATGAAAATAAGGAGCCCCTCCCCACGCCCCTCTGAGAGAGATTTGGTTACAAAGAACACAATGGTGCTCTAAGAGCAAATTCAGGTGATAAGGTGGGGGGGGGGTTACCTTGGTTGCTGATTGGCTAATGGTTACACAAGCCAGAACATCGTTATGACATCACAAAGTGGCCAAAATCTGATCAGCTCATTTTCAGACAGGTTTTTATAGAAATGGATCAGGACAAAAAGAGAGAGAATCTTTGTTCCTGAAACTTTCAGAGTCTCTTTCCACAGAGGGGACACATGTTGATGTAGAAGAGACATGAAGAAGAGGGGACACATGTTGATGTAGAAGAGACATGAAGAAGAGGGGACACATGTTGATGAAGAA